GCGCTCCCGGGGCGGCGGGGGCACCGCGCTCGGCGGCGAGGGGGGAGGAAGGAAGGAAGGAAGAAAGGAAGGGAGGGGGTGAAGCCGCGCAGCCCCCGCGCAGCCCCGCGCCCACCCCCGCCCGCTCACCTGCGCTCGGCGGGCGCGATGCTCCGCGCCGCGGGATGCTCCGCGGGATGCTCCGCGGGATGCTCCGCGCCGCCCGCACAAAGAGCAGGAAATGGCTGCAGCAAGTGCACTTCCGCGGCTCTCCGCCGGCCCCTCCGCGCGGCGCGGCGGCGGGGGGAGCCCCGGCCCCCGCCGCGGGAAGGGGCTGGAGCGGCGCGGGCGGCTCCTCCCCCAGCAGCGCGGGGGATGCGCGGCGGGGCCGGGGGCTGCATCCCCCTCCTCGCCGGGAAGGGGGGCCCGCAGCTCTCCCCCCGCGGCGGGGACCTCCTGCGGTGGTCGCTCCGCCGGGGCCGGCCGGGCTGGCGGCAGCGCGGCGCCGGCGGGGTCGGGGTCAGGGAAGGCCGCCAACCACCCCCACCCGGGGCGCGGAGGGAACAAGGCTGGGGGCAGCTGCTGCAGCCCCTCGGAGGTCTGGTGCTGGCAGAGCGGGTTTGGGTCCCTGAGGAGGCAGGACCCGGCTGAGTTCCCCCATCTCCCTGCTGCTGTGTTTGCTGGGTATCCGGTGTTCAGCCACTCTGCCCCTCGGAGGACCATTGTTAAGTTTAAGCTACCATCTTAACAAACATGCTGTTTGCAGAATACATGTACGTATAGAATACATATGGAGCCTCAGATGACTGAGCATGTTGGGGGCCAAAAACAGAAGGCAGTGCCTTTGCTCGGAGCACCAATCCACTTCTGAGTCAGCACCACATCCAAAAGGTCTTCCTTTTGGCATTTTTGGCATCTGGCTTTTCTTCAGGGACAGGTTTCCAGTCCTTCTGCTCATATTTCTTTTTAAAGCTCTAATACAGCTCTTCAGATCTACTGTGAAATCCAAACTGGACCTCTCACAGCTTCCAGAGGAACATTGCCTCATGGTGACTGACACAAGCCCTGTATAGAACTATCTTGTTGAAAGACACTGGTGGATACCCCAGGACTGATGGAGGTCTAGATACAGGTCTAGATGTACCTCCTTGGTGGCCCTGGCAGTGTTCCTTTCCTGAGCATCAGCCTATGCTAAAAATGGACTATCTTGCCCCTCCTGGATTAGAGTGACCCCTCTGATTCCTTAGATTGCTGCTGTTGCCCATGCTAGTGAGCTTGCTCCCTATGGGTGTATGTTGACTCCGAAGGGAAGCTTGGACACCAGTTTACACTGCAGTTCTGCTACTGTGATTCGAATGGATGCAATGGGCTTAAAGGCACCAGGGTCTGCAAACTAGAAAAGCAGCAGGACAGTCTTAGGAACTATCTTTGTTTTACAGGAGAGGGCTACACCTGAAAAAAAAATGTATTAATATCCTCTCTGGGAGTAGACCCCTCTCTTTCCCCTGAATAGCGTTTCTTCTTTGGAGGTGGGACTAGATGACCTTTAAAGGTCCTTTCCAACCCAAACTATTCTATGATTCTGTGATATCTATGACTCTATCTCACCTTTGACTGGAACATTTTGTAGCCATCATTCCTCTTTTTACTATTTAATTCTTGGCAGAAAAATTCAGTAAGTGAGCACTGGTACTGCAGACACAAAGGATTTTACAGCTAATATTGCTCTGAGGCCATGGGTGAAACCAGGTCAGTTCAAGAAAACTGTGGCAACAAAGACTTCTGTGGACTGGTTTTTTGCACAGTTTAATCTGGTCCCATTATCAGCCAGGCACAGGGTGATGGGAATTCCATTAATGTTAGAATAATATTTTAATTTTCTGCTCTGTGTTGTCTTAGCTTGTAGAATAATAGAATGAGCTTCTCTGCATTTGTCCTGCAGATCTCTCTGCAGGCTGGGAAGTATGACAGCAAGCAGCAGCCCTATGCAGCTACAGACTCAGGAGTGTATGCATCAGCTGGCTCTGTGTGGAGGGGTGGAGGGGAGAGATAACTCGATAGTGGGAGGAGCTGAACAGAAGAATACACACGGATTTGAAGTGGCTGCCAAGTGAGATTTAGCAGAGCCATTCACCTGAATCCATCCACGCTGACAAGTGCAGCGTTCAGAGAGGGACAAAGCCAAACATCACATAAAAACACGTTCATTAAAAAATGTTCCAGGAAATTCTAGACTTTTATCAGGCCTGATTTTAAGGTAATTGTGTATTGACAACCCCCACTTCCCCGGGGTGACCAACACATGCCCAGGAAAGAGGTTTTCATGGCTAATTCTGCCGCTCTCCAGCCCCTGGTCTCCACTGAGAAGCATCAGCTGCTCCTTCTAGATGAGGTTACTGCTTGACTGCCTTTTCCTAGCAGGGACGCCAGCCTGGCTGTGCCTGTGCCTGGCCATCGCAGCAGCAGGTTGGGGACACGCTGGGATAGAGCTCTGGGCCTTGGCCCCAGCCAAGTGTGCAGCGTCAGCAGAGCCGTGCACCCAGCGGGAAAACAGGGACAAGCACAACCTCCCACCTTGCTGAAACACTTTTCCAGCGGGTAAAGGTGGAGTGGCTTAAACATTCAGCAGATTGCAAATGCTTTCTAAGGAGACAGGGAAGGGGTATTCAGAGAAAGGTTACTCACTTTGCAGCAGGAGACTGGTATTCTGACCTCTACTTTGTGGGGAACGTATCCAGTGAAGCCACATGAAGGGCACCCACCTAAACTCGCCATAGACACTGCTCTGGTGGGAGGGGACTGGGTTACAGTGCACTGACATTATGCAGCTATCCCAGTAAGGCACTAACCTTTTGAGATTCCTGAAGATCCCTGTAAATTATCATGGGGAAACACCCTCTGGGAGCACTCAAATACTACTACCCCCATTTTATGAAGATTCGGAGAATTTAAAGCCACCATAATGGATGTTTAGACCTAAAAATCTGGTGTCCATATAGTAAATTATGTAGTAGATTACTGAATTTGCAGAGATTCTGAATACTTCATAATAATCTAATCCCAGAACACAGCCAAAGTTCTGGGGAACAGAGATATTTCAGAAAGCCAGAAAAAACCTGTTTGCTTCTTGGTGGGAGGGATTTGGAGGAACAGCAAACTATATGATTATAATTGCATGAGGATGGTTTTTACATTTTTGCTAACATATAGTGAACCCCACAGTTGGAACTCAGCAATTTTATTGTTTGCAAAAACGAACATAAAACATCATAATATCATTTTGTGCAACACACTCTAGCTAATAAATATTACACATATACAAATATAAATATAATCTCAGTAAGATCATCTAGCAGAGCAATATTGCTGCTACTAAATAGCAATGTCCTCAAGCTCAACAGACCCCTGGTTCCTCCAAGGATGATGAGGGCAGCAAGCCAGAAGCTTAACTTTGTGAGCCTGCAGATATCCCTGCCACAGAGTGTGTGAAGATGTATAAGGCAGGAACTGATGCCTTGCCCATATCCACATACCTGAAAAGATGTTCTGGCTCCTAAAAGCTACCCTAGAACCATGGGTCTGAAAAATACCAAAAATAAAGTTGCCTTCTGTGAAGAAATAGTTCAACACAGGATATGTTAGATCATGGGATTACATTATTTCCTTGTTCCATTTTTGTTGGCAAACATATTTGAACCTGACTTCTGTAATTGGAGATTCTGTAAAAGGAGATTGCTGCTGGAAGTTTGCACCTTAGAGTTTTTGTAAGCTGCTGTCACATAAGGTTTCCTTGTGTTCTCACCTGCCCAAAACAGAGAAGCATAAAAAATACATCCTGCATATATGCACATATCATCCGTGAGCCCTCTTGACTTCCCTAGTTATTGTTAATGCTTAGCAGAAAGTCCTGCACTTTACAAATTTACAAATTCTGCAGGACACCAACACCCAGACATTTGGTTTTGGGGTCAGTTATGTCAAAACAGTGTCTCTGTCTTGCAGTGGAAATACAGATTTTAGTTTAAGTACCAGGAGATGGATTTTGTTTATACCTTCTTCTGCCATCACCACATAATGGAGAACTCCTTGTGGAGAAAGAACCCAGGCAGTCCATTTGCATTGGACTTTTTCTTTGATCAGTCCCTTTGTTCACAGAAGAGATGGAAAGGTCTTTACTTTTGATGATTCAGTTACTCTTTGAAGTACGAGAAAACTCTTCTCATTATCACCGGTGCACTGAACATGTGCTCTGCATGTTTTTTCCTCGTGGCTCCCTTGTGAGCCCTCCAGCTCCTTTTTTCCAAACACACCAGTTCAGCAGTAGATTCCTGTACCTTTCACAGGTAATCAGATCCCAGAACTCTGTCTTGTCCTGGACAGGAAACACATAGCACTCTGCACTGCTCAGTCCTCCATGCTTTGTTCAAATGAACTGGATAGAAGTCATGTATTGATCTTCTGATGTAGAAAGACTGAAGAAAAAAACAATATAAACGTTCAGCTTTGACTTCCCCCCTCCAAGAATGTCTCCATTTGCATCAGAGTCCCTTTTTCTCATTCACTATACAGTGCAATCTGACACAATTTCAAAACTCTTCAGCATGTTGCTTTTTCTCTTCCTCTCTTACAAACTCTTGTGCACACACAGACGCCTCTTCAGTTTACCAGGTATCTGAATCCTGTTCCTGTTATGCCACAGCTGCAGAAAAAATCATGCAAGGGAAAACAAAACTACCTTAAAATATCGGTGTCAGAAATGCAGTCACTGTTCCTGTGTCTCCCAGGCTTATTCATGTTCAGAGCTTTCAGGTCCAGCCCACTCTGTATTAGAGAGCTGTGGAGATGTCTAAATGTTCCTCCTCAGTTAAAGACAGGTTTTTCTTTTCCCCAGGGAAGACCTTCATTTGGGAGTTCACAAAACTGGAACAGCAATGTCAGATCTCTTAGTTTTGAGGCTGTATCTTCAGGAGAAATACCTTTGCTGGATTGTGTGGTTCAGGACTCTGTGCTCAATTGCTGCTTCTGCTTTTAAGATGCAAACCACATTCTTGGCCAAACCAAAGCCTGTGTCTGTCTAGGCTCTGGAAGACCCAGGGATATCTTGTCTGTCTGGAAGTACCAGCCTCTGCCCTCTCTTCTCCCCAGGCATATGGCAAGTGTTTATGGTGAGAGGATTCCTGTTAATGCTTTGTATGGGGAAAATCCAGTCTTCTCTCAGGACTCTCAGCTGTGCTGAGTGAACAGTGCCATGATTAGAGATCATACTCAGAGATTTCACTCAGCTGGAACAGCAGAAGAGAAAAGGGTGGCCGCTCGTCTTTCCTCTGAGCAGGGAACAGAAGAGAGAGGAAGAACATTTTTGTCAGCTTGTGAGGAATGGCTGGCAAGGTTAGCAAGGAAAAACTTGTGAAGAAACTGAGTATTAACAAAAATACAATCTATCTCTATAGAGAAAAAGCCAATGGAAGAACCAGCTTCCTTCTGTGCAGTGTTTCTTTTCTATTAGCAGTGAATTTTGTCTCGTGGACACTAAGTACCTTCTAATGGCTTGGCTGTCATTTTTACCATCACTGTTAGAACTCAGCCCCACAGATCTGCACCTTTCTTAAGAAGGAAACTTTTGAATTAACTAGAGTTAGGTGCACTACATGGGCTCCTTAGAGAAGTCAATGCACTCTATAGAAACAGCAGATTAAATTAAAGGCAGAGAGACCAGAGTTTTCTTGCTGGTGCAGATGAAAGCTACAGCGCTTCACATCCAGGATTTTATCTTGTGTTAGCATGTGATGTGTACACCTCTCTCTCCTCCTTTAAGCCAAGGGAAAGAGAGCTCTTGTCTTTGTGAACTAGGACTCTCCCATGACAATACTAACCATCCTCCAGCAGTGGCTCATGACATCATAAATTGCCTTGGAGGCCAGCTTGGGTTTGTAGAGCCGAAATCCTGCATTGATTTCTTCCACCACTTCTGCATTGGTGCGATTCTCATAGGGGATTTTACCTTCACTGAAGACCTCCCACATCAGCACTCCTAAAGCAAAGAAATGAGAAAAATCACAAAGAAGCAAATAAAATCCTCAGCAGACCTGTGGCCACCTTCCACCTGTTCTTCTCTGCAGCTCAACCTTGGTGTCAGCTACTTGGAAAAGCGTTTTCACTTGGATTCTCAGTACACATCTGAAAAACCAGGCAGGCCCTAACACAGCTGTACAGTTCTACGATGCCAGCCAGGATCTCTGCTGTGCACTGGAATGTGTGGAAGTACCAGTTTGACTTCTCTGCATCCTACTTTGTCATAGTCTAGCACACAGAGATGTCTTTCCCCATGAGTCAGATGCTGTGTTATGTGTCAGAAAGCAGAGTATGTCTTCTCCAAAACTGTGAAGAGGGAATGCTGTGCGTGTGCTCCATCCAGATGTGTAATCTGGGAAAGAGAACCTGCTTTTTGTCACTGATTCAGTTTATCTATTTTTGCTTCCAGTTAATCACATACAAGAGACGTGTCACTGATGTTCCTGCCTGCAGTGTGTCCTGTACCCAAAGCTGTTAATTTTGGCGAGGCTCAGTAGCAATAAAGCAATATGAACTGCTCCATTCCTGTTAGCCAGCTTAGTGCAGGGAACTCCTCGCCTGAAAAATGTCCTGGGTGGTGTGATTCGCTGGGATGAATTCACATGCACTCATAGTGGAATTTCAAAGGACTGAGACACATTTTTCCTCTTTTCCTAAACAGTCAAATGTTTTTCAGTGATTGCCTTTCAGAGCAGTACAGAAACTCATGCTTCTCTAGTGTGGTGGAAGAGAGACAGGCAAAGACAAAAAGACTGAATACACTGCAGTTGGCCTCCAGGTCAGAGAGGGTCTGCAAACTGAGTGAATACAAGGCATCTGGGTTGTTATTAGCTTTAATTTCTTTGGTCACCTATTATGCCTCACTGAGTAAACTGTGTTAGAAAAGGGAGACAGACTATATATAGACTGTTCTGAAATAAAGTTGTGCAACTCCATAGTTGCACAGTTGCACACTCAGCTTTGCTCAATTACACCTTCTTCCATCTTTGACACCTTCAAATAGGAAGATGCAAAGAGACTGATACTGGCCCTACTGAAGAAAAAGCAAAGTAGTTGTACTCCCCAAGTGTGCAGATTCCTGCACTGGGAGCTTCTCACACCCATTTTGTTCTCCTGGGCACAGCAGGATTTCAGACCTGGCAGAAGAGATGAATGGGCTGTGGAGCAGCAAAGCAGAAAGCTGCTCACAGTCATGAGACCATGAGGAATCCTCTTATGCAAACCCCACTGGATGGGGAGATAACGAGTCTGACAGATGTACAACCCACCGTCTGCACATCTCACAAAGAAGGATTGACCAACACAAGCAAAGTTCACCTATATTTCATTCAGATCTGAAACTGGAGTAAGCCAACTTCACCAGGCTTCGCTTGACTGTAAATCAATCTGAGCACCTTCTCTGGAAGCATCTGGCTCTCAGTGTACAGGCCAGTTTCCGATCTGTGAAGCAGAAGAACATTCCTACCAAAGTAGCACCTCTCCCCATGTCACTGCCACTTCGCTGTGAGGTGTCAGCAATAGCTCCACTGACAAAAGCTGTCCCTTGTCATTACATGGTGAGTGCTGACAGCCTCCTCCACGTGCCAGGGAACGTGGAAAGAGGAATGGTGCTCTCTGAAGCATCTCCCTGCTGAGTTTGTGAAGGAGGCTGTGTGGGTCTGAGCACCCAGTGCCCACCACGCTGCTCGTAGCCCACCCCAGGAGTGCACAGCTTCAGGCACAGCAGAAGAGATGGGAGCCACAGCAAAAAGCAAGGAAAGCACAGCATTCACAAGCACAGACTAGGAAAGGTTATAATCCTGCATTATTTACTGCTGGGCCTGGAGCTGAGTGGCACCCCATTGACTGTGTGCTGTGCACAGCACACTGCCCCGATTCACTGCGGTAACAGAGATTTGCATGTTGGCTGGAGAGGGGCCAGGGCCATGAGTGTGCCAGATCTACAGCCCAGGGGATAGCCTTTGTTATGGCTTTGGGGAGAAAATATACAGCGGTGTTCTTATCTGTGAGGGTCCAGAAGGGAGACCAAAGAATGGACGCAAATCATAAAACAATGCACTGGGGAGCAGGAAATGAGGTGAGAAATGGGAGCAGTGAAATTATATTTTCAGATCGGCATAAAGCAAATGGACTCAGCAGAGCAAACTTGGAAAGGCAGAGGGTTTGAGTGAGGAATCAGTGCCTAGGACTGACATGCAAAGAGATGGACTGCCTAAATATTATCCCTTTCCTCTGCTCTGTTCTCCTCTCCTCTGTAATCTTGTCAGTGGCTCTCTAACTTTTTCTTGGACACTCCTGCTATGTCAGCAGAAAACACAGTTCATTTTTTGATATGATATAGCATTGCACAGCTATAGAACACCCTAAGAATCCAGAGGATATAGTGTTTAGAAGAGTTTACTTAAGGACTGATCCCTTAAGTTTTCTAAGCTGGGATTTGTTGAATTTCTTCCATTTTGACAAGTTTCTTACCGAATGACCAAACGTCAGATTTGGTGCTATAGTTGCTGTAGGAGAAAACCTCTGGAGCAGACCACTTGACTGGAAACTTGGTACCCGTGGAGCTGGTATACTGATCATCAAGGACAATCCTGGAACAGGAAAAGAAGGGAGAATGCTGAGTAACTCCCCATCCCATGACAACCCTGCAGGGACCGTGCACGGCCTTAGTGGTATTACCTTGACATCCCGAAGTCGGACACTTTGACCACCTGGGATTCCCCCACCAGGCAGTTCCTGGCAGCCTACAAGGAAAGAAGGTGCAAAGGCAGCAGGTCAGAGCTGAAAGACTGACCTGTGGTGGCTTTTATCCTAGCAGAGCAGATAGTGCTTAAAAAAGAGCATCAAAGTGACATTGTGCCATACGAAGAGGACAAAACCCTGAGCTTCTCATGCTTTCAGTACATTTTACAGCATGTCCCTGTTGCCAGAAAAGCTGTTCAACCATCAGTCTGACTTTCTGACCCTTATTGCTCAGAAAGGGCAGAGAGAGACCCTAAAATATCCACAGCTACTCACAGTCCTTGCTCCCTAGTGAAACAGCCACAGTGACCAATGGAGCTTGATTGAACACCACCTAATTAAAAGTATTTGATCATCAATGCATGTTTATACATGAATTATGCAAAAACAGGTCTTTTTTTTTTTTCCCCACTGATTTTAGACATGAAGAGGAGTCAGTACCCAGGAACTGTGGCTCTTGGGAGCAAAAGAGTCCACTCAGGAAGGAAGAAAAACTTTATAGCCTTGTTTCTTCTCTCCCAAACACAATTAAGGGAAATAGATTAATCAGCAATCCAGGGGTTAGGTTTTTTTTTTCCCCTAAAGTATTGGTACTGCTTCTGCAATAAGGGCAGATACAGGATCCCCTGTAAATACGTAGGAGGAGTGTGGAAGCTGAAATTAAGGAAGGAAGAAAGCACAGGAAAACATCCACCCAGAGCAAAGAAAAAGTCTATGTGGGACCAACATACCAGGTCTCTGTGGATGACAGAGTTTTGTTCCAGATAAGTCATTCCTTCACACACATCTTGGCACATCCCCAGCAGGGTTTCCTTTGAAAAAGTGCCTCGCTGGCTCCTGAGGTAGTCGGACAAGCAGCCATTCTCCATGAACTCAAACACCAGGCATATGGGAGTGTTCTCAAAGCACACACCATAAAGCTGGACTAGCTTGGGGTGAGACAGCTTCCTGTGGGATAGGGAGGGAAGGTGGAAAAGAATAGGCTCAGTGCCTTCTATTCTTAGAGCAACTGGTTAATACACAGCTCCATGTGCCACCGTGCTGCACCCTGCTCTCTGCAAAGGCCAGCTCTGCACATGAGCAGACCAAGTCTAATGTTAAGTAGGTCTAAGTATCATCCCTTTTCAATGGTAATGGTCATCAAAAGACTTTTCTGCTTGGAAAATCATACAATCAAACAAAAATAAAATCAATTTCTGTTTGCTTTGAAGGGAGGGAAATGCAACAAATACAAATAAAGTCAATAAAACCAAAGAGGATATATTCAGTTGTGCAAAGCAAAAAAAACTTTTACAGGTAAAGATTTTCAATAAATTTTCCCTCAAATTGTAAGATATTTCTCCATCTAATTATTTTTGACAAAAACCACTTTGCTTTCCAAAATGCACTATCAATGAACCCTGCCTTCTTCAGCAGCAGAGATCTGGAAGAACATTCTGGATATTGATAGACTTCGAAGCACAATAATTCACCTACACTTTGAATTGCCTTCCTTTGTAGCTGCCAGAGCTCACCTGTCTCTACTATTTAGATACATAGCAGATAATCAAAGTTTGAATTCCCCATTCATATTCCTGGCAACACTTTAGTTCAATCTTACAAATCCCAGAGTGGCTGATTTTCTTGGTGAATCTCCTACTTACATCAAGACTTTAGCTTCCTCAATGAAATCCTCTTCAGACATTGCTCCCTCACGGATGGTCTTTATGGCTACTTTCGTCTTGTCCAGCAAGTAGCCAAGGTAGACCACCCCAAACTGACCACTGCCAATCTCCTGCACACGGGTGAGCTCAGAGGCATTAATGACCAATTTTCCTGTTGATTGTAAGGGGGAAAGAGTAAGGATTGAGCAGTAGGATGTCAAACAAAAAGCTTCTGTGGGACATGGTGTGAGACTTTCTGTCTCTCCCTCAAATTGCCTGTCTGACCTTTGATAGCTCATTTGATTAGCCCATGCTGCAGGTCATGTTCAAGAGTAGGAACAACAACATCCCCTTTTACCCCTCCTTTGTCTTGTCTATCCAGTTCTTCAGGAAGGATTGTTTCTGCCATACATATGTGTACTACTGAGCACAACATGGGGTTTGAGTTTCTTTGATGTCTCCAAGAATTACAATAAGGATGATACCAGCAAAAATTCTGTTGACAACAATACTCAAATGGAGGCATCTTTCAGGAGAGACTCAGCTTTCATCAAATTGTGCTGTGATCCCACTCCCATCCCCTTTGTTCAGCATTCATTTTAGTATTTAATGTTGACTTCATTGAGACCCTGGGATTCTCATCACTCCCTCAAGGCCCTGCATTGTGGGGTCAGTCAGTTACCAATGGTAATGGCAAAGATGATAATCTAGTGAACAGTGCAGTGTAAAGATCTGGAGAAAGCTATTTATTATGGCTATGGTCACATGAATATTCATCAACATCCACGGGGATATGCAGGATCAGCCAGCTAAGCAGGGAGGAGTGTGATTCCCATGCAGTCATGAGGGTACCATACCATAGCTCAGCCCTGCAGTGATCGGGGCCTTCTTTCTCCACGAAGACACTGCATACCTGAGCCGAGTGACGAGACCTGGGGGACAGAGGGAAAGGGGGGTCCCAGTTACTGTCACAGACATGGGCAGTGTGGCTGTCACTACCCCAGGAGGCAGTTTGGATACTCAAAGAAGGTTTATTGTACTGAGTTCTCAGCTCCACTTGAGGGCAGCTGAACTTCTGCTCAGACTGATTTCCTGCCTGTGAGAAGGAAGCCAATTCTGAGCAGTTTCAGCTTATTTTTCATTTTCGGTCTGTCAGCAAATGTGAGCTGTGAGTCTCTATTAATTCTGATGAATTTCCAAATTATACCTTTTATTTTTAGGGTATTTTTGAAGTCTAGGGTTTCCTGTAGTACTCCTGCACTGTAGGGATGGGAGTCTTTGGTGACTCCCATGTCTGGCTATGGATCCTGGCCATGTCCCTGACTTTGTGTCAAATCAAGGTCCAGGGATATATCACCTCCAGGACAAGAAGGCCCTGCTGTGTAATTCAAACAGGTAGCTTGGCCTGGCAGTGGTGATCCACTTCCAGGGCTCTCCATGGTATGTCATTATGGCATCTGTGTTGGCCACAGTCAGCCTTAGAAGGACAACTAGAGAGAAGATGTAATGCTGGAAGTGGAAACTGGCCTGTAATGGTCATTTTCCTGCCATCCAAGTGCCAGGATAAGTGGAAGAAGAGATGATGCCATTTAACACTTCATTGTGAGGACAGAGGGCTTGGGAGCCTTCCTTCACTCAAAACAGCCACCTGGCTGCATGGGGTAACCCAACAACTTCCCTGGTCAGCTTTGGCCTTCACTCACCTCCTGCATTGTGCTGGTGGTAGTTGATGAGGTCAGGGATGCAGTCAAACACGTGCTTTTCTGCCAAGTAATATCGCTTGGGAAAGTCAGTTGTCTCATTGATGTGATAATGCTTTATAACAGGATTGTTGTCTGTGCTGAAAGAGAGGAGGTTTTCTTTGAGGAAAACTAGGTTGCAGCACAAAGACAGGAATCTGGGGTATAAACAGAAGAGTAGCAAGTGAGAAAAGGGGAAAACCTTCCCCCGGAATGAATGGGAGAGGAGCAAGGAGTGAGTGCAGTTGCTAATTAAGTCTGTGTACTTGTATGTTTTCCTTTTCACTCATAGATGGTCTCATCTCTAGAAAGGCTGAGGTTTCCTGATAAGACAAGGTTAAGTATAAGTTTCTCCGCCTCTTCTTTGTGAAACAAAAGCTTCTGCCCCATTACTGAAACCCTTTCACTAATCTTGTGCTACCCACCTCTGATGAATCCAGCACACAGTCCATGTTGATCCCATGGACACTTCAGCTGCGGGGACAATTTCATCAGAATTACAACCCCAGTGATGTCTAAGGCACTATTTATAGGCACATATTTAGATGCAGGGAGAAGTGGAGCCTTTAAAACACTTTGCGACTGGCAGCTGACTCTCTGCCTTTTTTGGAAGTGTTTTCCTCTATCATTTTCATGAGCCTTCTGCTCTCTCTTTATAATGCCAAAACAACTATACAGAGATTACACACTCACAGAAGCCGTTTCATTGATGTAATTGATGTGAAAAGCTGCTGAGCTCAGCTGTACCTTAATGCTTTGGTGAAAACAGAGACCGTGTACATGCCAGGCTGCCTCGAATCCCTCACCATGAAGGCGCCTTCCCTACCCTGGAACAGGACCAAAGGAGAGAAAACTGGTTAGAGACATAATGGAAAAAAAGAAACAGGCTGGGGGCAAAGCTGTGCTAATTTCAGCCCTGTCTACTGCTCAGTCATGAGGATGTGCTAAACGTGTAGGGAAAAAAAGAGCCTCAGCCCACTGACAGAGCATGGGGTGTCCCACGCACAGCTCTGGTGGCTGCCCAGGGCCTGCAGGTACACCCCACTGGTGTCTCTTTGGTGCTCTGTGCTTTTAGCTCAGTTTCCTCTCAGAGCTCTCAGAGGAAATGAGACTCAGGCACTTGTGCTGAGTTCATGTGGCTGTGCCTCTCTGTCCCTCCAAGCCTCTCCTAGAAATTCTGAACCCATTGATTGCCTTCAACCCTATTTGACAGAACATGTGTTCAATGAAATGTGCATCCAAGTGGAAAGGCAAACCCCTCTGAGTCCTCTCTGTTGAGCAGCTACAGAATGAGAGCACAGTTTATCCAACACCAGAGAATCCATATGGGAGTGTATGAAAGATAATTTACCAACGTACCACAAATGGGAAAAGCTTGGACATGATGCTGCCCTTTCATAGGTACACCAGTCATCCAGCATCTAAACATAAATGTGTAGGAAAGCTTCCTGCACTCTGGCACTCACAGAATAATTTTCCTTTTTAACTTTTCGTTATGATTGTTTTCTACTCATCTCAATGCTAACATGTCTCAGGCCATGATCCCGCAGGGCCAGGCACTGATGGATCCGATGGCAGTGGAGGAGGTTTAACATCATAGTTTTGATGGAACTTGCTGCACTGGCCTATATATTGATAATAAAAACATGTTTTACTTCTGTTTGCAGATAAAGATGCTTTTCATCTGGCATCCCAAGTGCCTGATTATTTCATTCCCTCCTTTGCTTTACATGGTAGGTTTCCTCCATTTTATATGCCTTCTACTCACCCACAACACTTCATGGAAACCTAATGCACTGAGTGCACCCTCCCTTGGACCTCTTCCCACCTCCCCAGAGGACTGATCAGCTCCAGTATCTGCACAATGCAATATCCAGCACAGGGAAGCTCTGAAAAGGGTCTCTGTGCTGCTGTAGAAGCATCTGTATCATGCACAGTGAGGGCTTCAGGACTCATTTCCCTGGCAAGTATCGAAGGTAGGCAAGTTTTGGTGACAGCATCCTGCCTGAGTTTCTTTAAGCTATATTTTTGTCCTTCTTTCTCACTTGACACCAAGCCTGGCCAAAGATCACTCTCAAGCTTGGCCACATTTTTTGGGGGAGCTGTGAGGGTTGCAAAGCTTTGAACCAGAAGCCTCTGCAGCCACACGGGGGTAGTTGCCATAGAAAAGTTGTGCTGGTAGGACCAAGAGGAAAAATAAGATTATTAAACCGTGTGTGGACATGTCCTGTAGTAGTTTATAGGAGCTAGAAGAATTTTTAAAACCACACAAAACCACTTTTATTTCCATAAAATACTGTCATTCCAAGCAACAACATCTATTTGGGGCACCTGTTAGCATAAGAGCTTATTTAAAAACTGAGGTTGTGTTTGTGTGGAAAATCTGAACAAGAAGGTTATTCTTTATATTTTCAATACAGTTTTCACTGGAAAACTCTGGCTCAACTGAAAAATTAAAGATGTGTGCTCACATGCACACAGACATACAAAACTAAAAACAAACTCCAAACCCATACTTTTGGCTTTTATCCAAAATATTTCAGCATGATTTCGCTTAAATTTTCAGAGAACTAATGGCATCCACAGGCCTCCTGCAGAGACTGAAAAGATGAGCTAATATCACAGTTTTCAGTTGACACAGTGTTCTGAAGCAGTGTTTTCTACTAGCCACAGCTATTGTGTGTGTTTGGCTAAAACAAGTTGGCACAGCTCTCTGCCCATGCTCAGCAAACATGGAGGTAAGGGGGTGGTGCTGGTGGTCCTTTATCTGGCATCTCACACTAAGGCCAGTAATGCAGTAGGAACCCAGGGTTCAGCTCTTTTACACAGAGCAGCCCTTGCAGGCTTCATTTGTCATTAATTAATTAGTATTTCCCATCCACCTCATACATAACACTGGTTTACCTCATCCCTGAGGAGAGCTTCTGCTTTGCTTCTGCTGATGTTCTTGTTGTACCACCTGAAAACATCAGAAGACTCTGAGTCAGCGTTTCCAGGCTAGGAAGGTTTCTGCTGAAAAGCTGAATTGAGTGTCCCCAGGGCCAGCGCTGACATGTGGTCTGGAGCAGGGGCATTTGAGGCTTGGAGCTTCAAATCCAGGGCACTCAGAGGTACAAGAAAAACATAGGCACAACTTACTCATACATTTGCAGATTCTCGGGTGATTTTTCCACCAGGTAGCTGCTTGGCACGTAGCCTTCGTGCCTGTTGAGATGCAACACAGTGTGAGTGTGCTGACAGACAGGATTTTCTCTGCATCTGTAGGAGTCAGCCTTGAAAGATTTGCCTGCTCATTGCATGATAGCAGTGCTGGTTGTTATGTATTTAGCAGGGTTACTGGAGAAGAAAACAATTGATTGCACCTCTAAACTTCTGGGGAGTTTCACAATTTTTTCCCCTACGTGTATCACAGCAAATATCAGCCTGAGAGAAGGACTGTTTATTTCTTTAAAATTCACTTTTCTCCAGCTGCCTGAATACAAGCAACATTAAAGGGAAGACAGTTAACCTACACAACCTTCCATCACTTTTTCCCTGTATGTCAGAAGATGCTTCGCAAAAGTTGAACAGGGGGCCAGCATGTGTGTTAATGGAAGAACAAATTGGATTTAGAAAGGATTTGTAAACTGGCTGTTGAAAAGGGACTCACCCATTCTTATCTTGAATCAGCCACCAATGTTCTTCAGAGCTGTCAATCACATAATATTCCTCGTTATACTGTAAAGTCAGCTCCTGTGGATTCTGGGCTTCATAGTCATATATGGCTATGACCAAGGCTTCTTTGGGGTATAGAAGCAATTCCTGCACAAACAAGGCAGAAGGCTCATCATATTCATAAAAAACAATGGCATACTCTCTAAAATGATATTTTCCTGGCAGCACTGGTGTCCTCTGGGCTCAAAAGCCTCAAGGCTAGGAAAACACTCCAGAGCATCTAGTGGGGTATGGTGGCAATGTGAGAATCTTTACCACTTTCAAACAATGAATTTCATATAAAAATTTCAGTTGCACAGAAAATGCCCAGGGAATATTATCACAGGTGAAATTCTAGGTCACTGCACTGTGGTGAACCTTAATGAGGACACATTCCCCACTGGTAGTTAATTACACAGGACAGGACACTAAGGACAGCTTAACATGCCTCACTGCACTCACCCAGTTATCTTCAGGAGTGGGAGGAAGAGGCTTCTTTGAGGCTGAAATTAAATCAAGAAAGATAATTTGAAGTTGATCAGGACAAAACCAGTGGAGAAACCATCAATGTACTGAATGGATACAAGTGATACAAACCCCATGAATAGCGAGCTTTGGACTTTCAGAGCAAGACATGCCAACTGCACCTACACAGTGAATCTCAGCCACACAGCAGGGGTTTGAAACTGGGGTTCAGATTGCTTAAGGAATCACCCAGACACAAGGCAAAAGTTTATTGGGTGAGGAATGATTTACCACTTATATGTGTTTTCAAGAGACAAAGTCAGGATTACTCTTGGCCACTGAAGCCACAGAGGAAATATGGTTAGAACAAAATAGGATGTCCTGCAGCAACATGTTTCTTGATGGAAATGTAACACCGTATTTTTTGATGTTCTATACAAGACAGATTTGATCCTTTACTTTTGCTAGGAATAAGTATTTGCAAGGTCAGGATGGTCTTAACAAATCCCATACCATTTTTGGAGGGATCATACTCCACACAGCCAAGTGCCATCTTCTCTGTCTGAGCACAGCATCTCCACTTGCCATCTAACCAAAAATCTGTGTGACACTTTGAAACCAAGCTGTTGTTGTTTCTAGTTTCTGGAAAACATTAGGGGAAGAAGAAGGGGGGAGATGAATTTATCTGCATCCACATCAGCTCTAAAAGACATCTAGAACTAAATGGAAATAATCTGTGCTTTAAAGAAACTTCTTATTCTTGTCAAAATAAGCTTTGGTGAACGTTATCAACCTCCTCCATTAATGTCTTCTTTCTTTTCTCCCAGAAGGAGTGAATGCCACCATCAATGTGGAGGAACAGCCTCCCAGGTGGTGGTGGAGCCCTTATCTCTCTACTGTGGTAGAACAGAATCCTACCAGTATGACTCTCTTTAAAATGATAAAACACCAAAACCAGAGAAGGAAGGTCACATAAAAAGAAATAAAACCTTTCAGGCCATATATTGATGATTCCCAGCACACTTGCTATTTTGTCTTGGTGTTCAGAAGGAGCTGTACAAGCTGGCATTCACCAGCACTAAACATTTTTTGCACTTGTAAATACCAGTCTTGAATATCTGCACGAGTGATTAAGGTTCCTTTTTTAAACTCGGGCTCTCTATCTGTAATCATAACTTTCATGAACAGAAAAATTCTTCAGGCCTGTTTCAAGAGACTGTTCAAATTGTCCAAGGGAGGGGACAGTCTCAAAATGTTGAATGAGAAGAGGTGATGAAGTAGAAGCTTGGAGCAGGTGCATTCCAGAAGAGGAATAACTATTTGAAAGAGTCAATTGCATGAACTTCATAACACCTCCGTCAGGCCCAATGTTTTCAGAGAGAACAATACAGCAGCTCATGCTATAAAGCAGGAAAAAGCTGTGACAGAAGCCTGGTGCAGTTTCATGTAACTAAGTAACACCACCCTTACATCAAGCATTGTGCTTCGTGTCTGCCCGCAGTGGTTCAGTGCTGTGCCTTCGCTTCAGCACCACGGCAGTGAACCACAGCACAATTCAGGAGGGGAACAGGAAATGAAAGCTGCCCGCAAAAATGTTTCTTAATAGTCATGATTCTCTAAGAAGATTGTCATCAAACAAACAAACAAATCTATTAATAAAAGGCAAAAAATCTTTTATGTAGAAAAGATCATTTAAAAAAATTAGCCGTAGTAAAATGCTTGTCTCTTGCTGAATAAGAAACCTCAAATCACAGAATCACAGGATGGTTCAGGTTGGAAAGGGACCACAGTGGCTCATCTGGTCCAACCTCTCTGCTCAGGCAGAGTCATCCCAGAGCACAGGGCACAGGATTGTGTCCAGACTGTTCTGGAATTTCTCCTGTGAGGGAGACTCCACAGCCTCTCTGGGCAATCTGTTCCAGTGCTTGGTCACTGCACAGGAACGAAGCTCTTCCTCATGTTCGGGTGGAACTTCCCATGTATCAGTTCTGCCCATCACCTCTTGTCCTATTGTTGGGCACCCCTGAGCAGAGCCTGGCTCCAGCCTCTTGTCACCCTCCCTTCAAACACTTACAGACATTGATAAGGCCCCCAAATAAAGCACTCCCTGTCCACATTTTCCACTGCTGCTGAAAACACACCCACCAAATTTACAAGCAATTTGAGTTTATAACCCATTACCACTTTGCCTGCTCAGATACAAGACATTGACTCCTCTTGCACACTTTCTCTGCATTATAGCTTGTGAGAAAACCGGTCAGACATAAGTAACTTCAACGAGTAGGTGTGCACAGGGGTTTTATTACCTTCCTTCAGCGTGAAGACCCATCTCTGCCGGCTCTCACGGTTGGGTGCAAACACATAGAGTATGTAGCTATCGTGGACGATCTGGAGAGGGGAGTAAAGAAGGGAGCCAGCCATGAGAAGCAATCCCAGATACTCTGGGCACAATGGAGTCACCAAAGGAAACAGGCAGCAGCCCTCTTACCAACAAGTTACACACAAAATGATGATGTGGGGAAGTGGAGTGACAGGGCCTGTTCAGAAGCATCTCTTAAGCTCATCCACTTTTTGCTATTTAAAATGGAATGGAAATTCTTATCAAGAAAGAATTCTAGACAAGCACTGTTTTAGATCACTTTTATGCTGTTAAGAAATGCCTGTGAAATCAACAGAGATGGAGCAATTCCAGCCTGCAGAGGATTTAGCCCATTACTCACTGGCTGCAGTTTATCCTTCTAAAACTCCATTTCTCTGGGAAAATGGAGTTTTTTAGCAATTCCTTATAAGATACCTTCACTTGAGATCTAAGAGCCAATTTTTTTTGTGTGTCAGTATAAATCTCAAGCAGCTCCCTGGAGATTATTTGAATACTATTGTTTTTCAATGTATTTAATATCTTTCAGTAGGTTTATAGAGGGGAAGTAAGAAGCTGGAGCAGATGAACAATTAGCAATTCAGAAGCCATTTTCATCAACTTGGCTTAATTACAAACAAACAAATGAGAGAAATACAGAAAGCTTGTGAAGTTTCAGACCAGAGAGTAAAATCATCACAAGAACGGAAATGAATCAGAAACTGAATCGAATTACTATATTTGGGCCTAATATTTATTATGTAATGCATAATCTACAGTTCTCTTTCTCAGCAATTTCATGCCAAATGGGACCTGGGCTTATTGATTCACAAATGCTTTGAAAAGCTTTGACCACTGTCTTTAAACAGAGGCTTCTACAAGACAGTAGCTGATTTTTAAAGTTTCTGCAGAGGTGTAGATAAGGCAATATTGATTATTGTCTAAAGAACAGAAAACATTTTCTATCTCAGTCTGAAGTCCTTGAAGAGTGTTGCAGTTGCTTTGCATGCTACAGAGCAATAAAATAGAAAAAAGGGAGAAATAACTCCCACCAAAGTCACTCCTATTGATATTATAGAAGTGATATCTCTATCAGTATGGTCAACAGTCAGACTCACCTGGAAAGGGTATTTATACTGACAGGGAATGATGATGTCACTTTTCACAATTTCCACACATTTAATCCTGGAAAGTTCCACAGAACCCTTCAAAGTCCTTTTTTTCTAAAAGACAGAGAAAAGCACTTGGTTGATGCTAATGATTGTGCATTAAGTGAATAATTAGACAAGACTGTCATGTCCGTGGGAGATTTAATTTTAATGGAGCAGAAGCAAATTAACTGATTATATAAGACATTTAAAAGTACAAAGCATCTCATATATGGTACCTTACATGTTTTGCTCATACTCATACATATATGCACATATATATACTTCACTTCAGTACAAGGATTCTTAGAGAACCAGTCAAAAACTTTGGTTGAAATTCAGCTTCTACTTTTTTTCTTCCAACAAAATGAAGTGCTCTTTTAAGCAAAAAGGACTGTTTTCCTTACATGTTTAGTTTAGTAACACTACTCTTTCATACTGAAAAGATAGAAAACAATAAATAATTTATTAAAAAAAGTTTGAGTACTGAGCATTTCAAAACTATGCATTTTATCAAAAATGTACATTTTTACTGCATCTGTTTTCCAAAGACCACAACACTTTTCTGTTTTTGTTTTGTCCAGCTTTTCAGCTAAGAAAAAAATAACAGGAAATTTTGAAATAAATAATATCCTCAAAAACTTTCTCACAAAGCTCTTTTTCTGGCAGCCTCTGCTGTGTTATTATTCACCATATGCCAGATACCTTGATCACAGTATAGGCAGTTGGGAATGGGTATGAGAAGAAAAGACATCCAAATATCCCAGCTACCTCAGTACCTATTTCCTATGGGATTCTCACCCTACAGCTCCTTGGCCAGTGGCACTGAGCTTTTGCAAGAGAGGGGTGAGGTGATGCCTGCACACAGTGGGTGGGAGCGGAGCTGAGGCTCAGTATCTGATGCTTCTGCAGAATTCACTACACATGCATTTGCTCTTCAGAGGCAAGCTAACCAGCTGGTTTCCTGTTTTGATTCATTTTCAGTAGGGATTAAACACTAGCTGTCTCCCAGCTCACTTTGGGACACCGTGACGGAAATCGGTGAGACCTAAGAACACCAACACACTGCAAACCGTCTGTTTTTCAAACACAGGTGACTGTCAGTGAACTTCAGCTGCTCCACTGTACCTGGCACAGGTTATCACTCAGAGACAGCAAGACTTCAGCAACCTTCTTACCCTCCCTTGGACCCCAACCCAACCCTTTGTGTCTTTCACTCTCCAGCTCCCTCTTGCCTCTTGCTCCCTCCATCATCACGACCCTGCAGCTCTGCCCCGCTGGCAGCAGCTGTCCCCATCACTGTGCCAACCCCCACTGCTGCTCCTTTGCTATTTTACATCATCACATTCAGCCTAAAATGGGGAAGCAGCTGATGCCTCTGGAGATGGGGTGATGTTTGCTACAGTGTACTGTCAAACAGCCTCGAAACAGAGAGGCCTCAAGGCTCCTCAAACCTCATTCTTGCATGACTGGCTGGGTGTTTTGCTTTTGTATACTTGGACTTGAGGCAAGAGAAGGAAATTATTACAGTGTGGTCTCACATTGCTCTTGCTGAACTTTGCTTGTGCATTTGGGTCTTTGGTTTCGCTCGCAGATTAAGCAGTGTCTCTGGATTTACTGCCAGGACTGTCTCCTGCAGACAACAACTGCCTGTGTAGGTCTCTCTGGGTCTCTCTCTTTTATATCATAAACCCAAGGCTTTAAAGCTCCACAAAATGGAAATACCTATTAACTCTCAAGAGTATTGGCAAGCCTTAGAAGACCTTATTGCACCCCATTTTCACCATCCATTTCCTTTCATTCTTATCTATTCACTTTTTTCTTTCAGACTTGGCTTCCTCTGTCTCTTCTCCAAAACCTCCTCTACCATTTGTTCCGCCCCTGGGACTTCTACCCTTTTGATGAGACACAAAGCCATTTATATCCTATAAAAACCTTCAATTTTGCTAGCATTGAACCCTCCTTCATCTTATTCCTTTGAAGTCCTGGGGTTTAACCACATGCATTCCTCCTCTGAGGCTCTAGGAAGCGATGCTGTGCCAGTCACAGGCTCTGCTCTTTCCCTGCAGACTGGTTTTTGTTGATACCTTTCTGGACTCTGATTAAAGACAGGGTCCAGCATTCTCAAGGAGCTTTGTGTAGTTGTCCTGTAGCTCTCATCACCTACTGTGTTCCTTTTAATCACATACTTCAGGAATGGAAGCTCCTCATAATCTCATGTTGCAGCACAATATCAGGGCGTATCTCACAGCCAGGGCATTGCCCAGCAGATCCTCAGCAGATGGGACTCTGCTGATAAAAAGCAATTACAGTCCTGTAGAAGGACAAACAACTGGAATTACCACTCACAAATTAGAACCTGGGCTGGAAACTAAACATATCCCTGCTTTTGTAATGCTTGACTGCACTTTAATCCAACAAAAGTAACTGGGCCACTTGGAAGGGAAGGGAGAGGAAAAGCCTCTTAAAAATGGTTTCTGAAAAAATCTCAGAGACTTGTTCCTAAAAGGGTGAGACAAAACATGCTGACAGATCTCCATTTGTTGTTTTCAGTCTGCCCAGAGTATAATTAGGTAGATGTTTTAGCTGGTTGGTCAGGAAAAACCTCAGTGGTCTTACTGCGTATCATGTGTAGAAAGATAACCAGGGCAGGCTGCCGTCCCATGAGGAGAAGCACATGTGCTGCAGATTAGCCCATCTCATTTTATTTCTTTTGGTCCATTATTTGCAATATGGCAATTCCAGGAAGGAGAGCTAACAGCTCTGAAGGGTTCACAAGCCATATTCATTGATGGCTTCACCTTTGGTACTTCGTCTCCTCTTGCTACACAGCTCCAGCAGCTCCTTCACTGATTAATCCTTTAGTTTGTGTTTCCTGCAAAAACTAGATAACCCCAATGGTCCCTATTTGCCTTAGATACTGGGACAATTGGCCATGGGAAAATTGGCATAGCTCTGCCCTGGAACACAAGGAGGCATCTCACTGTGTTTGCTTGAGGAATAAGCTGCCTGGCATCTGTCACATGCTAAGACCAACCACCAACGCTGCTACCCAACCATTCACAGCAGCTTTGCCTTCCAGCAAAATGTGTAACTTCTCACCAGCTCGTGGTCTTGGGCAGGGGAAGGAGCGGGGACGTGGAGCTCATGGTGAGAGGGCAGGGGGCCGTCAGTGGCCGCTGCAGGTGACACAGATCGGCACGTAATGCCACTTCCTGACCACGGCTTCACAAATGTACCAGATCTTGTAAGATATGGGGCTCTGCAGTCTGAGGAATTTGCTGCTTTCAGGCTAACACTTTGCTCTTGCTATTTGTGAAGGACATGCATGAAATGTGCTTGACCGAGCATTGAGGCTGAAGGGCTCTCGGTGGGTGATTAAAGGTTTTGCTGAACCCCACTGTGTTTATCAAAGGGCCCTGCCAAAAAATGTAGCCATCAGTGCTGGGAGCAGAGGGAAGGGAGGAAGGCCAAAAGCCAGGGAGAGTTAAGGCAGGGGAGGGCAGAGCCTTATCTCAAGGAGCACAGGAGGAGACCCAAGGCAGCATTTTCTGGCAGGAAGGCAGCATGCCATGTTTCATAAAGCTGGCTTTGTTCCAAAGTTGCATAACAACTTGTATCTTGTTTCTTTTGTGCTGATGAGGGGAAAACAAAAGAAAAGAAAAGAAAACAAAAGAAAACACAGAAATCAAGATTTATGTGGCCCCAAACTCCTCGTCAGCAGTCACTACCAAGGGCTGTCCATGTCTCAGTTTGGCTTTCCTTGCCTGGCACCACTGGTGTTTGTGTTCATCTCTGTCTCCCTGCACCTCATCCCCATCTCCTGCGTGTCCCTTCCTGTGCAGTGCCGGCTGCTCCTCCCAGTCCAGCCTGGCACCTCATAGCAGAGAGGAGCACAATCCCCTCTGCAACCCCGCTGTGTCCCCACTGCATATGGAGTCCCTTTTCCCACCACGAGGCACATTCATGAGCCCATTGCTCCCCAGTTATAGCTGGACATTTTCCCTTGGTAGAGGGATAGGGGAAAACTACCTTATAGATGTGGTGGAGCAAGGTAGGAAATTCCAGTCCTTGGTAAGCTCAACTGCAAAAACTTTTCCATCAATAAAAGCATTTAATTACCTTCTTTGTAGCAACTTTTTTTTTTTTTAAGAATCTGAGCCAAACTTCATTCTCTGTTTTCACTTATTGTCTTGACTAAAAGGAGCAACAATTAATTGGCAATTAAGTAGATGAAAGGTCTTTGCCTTGGACCTTGGCATGACCTGCTTGTCCTGTGTCACCTGCTCCCTGTCCCTTGGCTCCAGGTAGGCTCAGTGTGCAGCCTGGACAGAGGCAGCAGATGGTTTTTGTGATTCTTACTCCGTGGACTTGAGGTGGTGAAACCAAACCAGGTTATTTTTTTTTTTTTTCGTTGTTCGGGACCGTTCCTTCCGTTGTTCATTCCTTCGGGACCGGCCGGGTTTAAAAAAAAAAAGCAAAAGACTGGACTTCTGATTGCCACTAGAATAAAGGGTTTGTAAGTGTCAAAAGAACCTTGCATGCACAGTGGAGAATTTTTATAGCAATGGGAGACTGCTGTGCTGCGATAGCAGTGTCTTCAACATCTATGCAGGCACTGGCCTTAAGGGGACTACAGTACCTCTGCAGAGGGTTTATACTGACACAGGGAATGCTCCCTAGGTCTCTATCCACAGCTCTCACTAATGACATGGTAACTGCACACAGCAACAACAAATTAGCAATAACAATAATATGACTTAACCATGTCACTCTACTGTCCGGTGTAGCTTTATCCTGCTGGTTTCTGTCCTGTGGTACAAATGCACTGTGGTGTGATTGAGAGGTCTAAATGCGCTCAGGATGGGGCATGAACTAGTTTCAGGGGGCAGAGGCAATGCAACTGCCCTTGGGCAGTAATTGAATGAAGGTAGAACTTCACGTATGTCTTTTTACTAATTTTTTTTTTTTTTTCATGAAAATCAACTCCCTTTCTAAAATTTGGAAACACGGTGCTTGGTATCTGCTGCCCTTTGGCTTCACTTCCACATAGAAAAGTGGATTTACTGAACTTT